TATTGATAATAGATACATCAAATTAATGAATTTATTACTTAGTAATAAAATGAAATAATCAAATTACATGACCAAGATATACATGTTTTTGTCTTTTATTAATAATATTAATGAATTTATTGTTTCAAAGAATAATAAAATGAAATTATTAAACATAGATACACTCCTTGATTTCCGCCTTATATTAAGGGATTTGATTAATTTAAACAACTTATATTAAGGGATTTGATTAATTTAAATTTTCAAAATTAATTGTCCATTCAAGTGATACATGTATCTCGCAGATTCAAACTCATGTATCCTAAGGATGAAATATGGTAGAGGAAGTAATATTTGAAATTATCGGGAATCTTAGTAATTAGGACCTAAACTAGTGGGTTTTATGTAGTTTGCCCATAAATAAAAGGGCAAATTACAGAAATCACATACTTTTAAGGCAAAATTACAATTTATCCCTTAAAAGTTTATAATTACAGAAATCCCTCATTTTCGCGCATCAGATTAGTGTATCAGCGCTTATATTATTGTATCTCGCGCATCAGATTAATGTATCAGAGCTATATAAGTGCTGATACATGCGCGAGATACAATAATATAAGCGTTGATACATTAATCTGATGCGCGAGATACAATAATATAAGCGTTGATACATTAATCTGATGCGCGAGATACAATAATATAAGCGTTGATACATTAATCTGATGCGCGAGATACAATAATATAAGCGTTGATACATTAATCTGATGCGCGAGATACAATAATATAAGCGTTGATACATTAATCTGATGCGCGAGATACAATAATATAAGCGTTGATACATTAATCTGATGCGCGAGATACAATAATATAAGCGCTGATACACTATTCTGATGAGCGAAAATGAGGGATTTTGGCGATTTGTAAAACTTACAGGGGATAATGGTAATAAATAAACTAAAATGTGGGATTTTTGTAATTTTTCCTAAATAAAATGGCTCATACTTTAAGGAGCGATTTTTAGGAAATTTGGCACGTATATCAATGTGGGCCAATAATTGCATAAAACAGCCCAATTCCAATTTTGCTCTCAAAAGCCCAATACCATTTCAAGTCACATAGTTATTGTCTGGCGATCAACTAATTTACCAAATATATATAAAAAAATATGTAAGCCGTGTATAATATATACTAAATATATATATTAATTAATTTTTTCTTATACTTTGAAATAATTACATATCGTCTCACTAATTAATCATTTCATATCAGATTTCAAGTCAAATACACGAAACATATATTTTTGCTATCAATAGTCCATTAGAACTTAAACGAATTGGATGAATTACATTTTCATGGATTATTTCTACCACCTCCACCTTCTCCATATTAGGAAGGGCACAAACAAAAGAAGGAAAAATGAAAGTTTCATCTAACAAAAATAATCAAAGTATCATATAATAAGAGAAAATTAAATCACCCCATTAATCATTACAAAGAAATAATACTTCACAAATTACAAATAAGAGAAAAGCCACAAGATATCACTCCATACATAACAAATGTACTTACTATACATAGTGGCTAGCATTACATCCATTTTTATGAACTTGATATAAATCTGATAATACAAATAAAATTACATCAATTTTTTTAAAAAAATTCTGTTCAAATTAATAGAGAAATGAATTAGCTATAACTTGAAATTAATTAAGGCATGAAAATAATTTAATTACTTTTTCTTCTTGGCTTGTTGCTCCTTGGCCATTTGTTCAAATAGGCTACCATCATAAACACCTCTAACTATATCTTTTTTCAGTAATCCATCCTTATCTTTGCAAAGAAAATATAGAATCTTCCACTCTGACAGAGCAGCAACACTGCATAATTTAATCCACATAAATAGTCAGTGGTATTCAGTATTTACTTTTTCTAGTTGGTATATAAATTATACATTAAATATACATAGTTATACATAGATTATACATCTGTTGGTTATTTTAAGTTTGTGTGATTGAGTGAGCAGCTATTCTGATTAGTTCTCAAAAGAAAATGATACGTATAATCTTTGAACTAAGTTATCTGTCTTTTAAGATTTTTATATACCAATTATAGTCTGTTGATTAAACTTTTAAAACCTACTTACTTGGGGGTGGGGGTGGGGTGGGGCCGGGGGGCTTAAAGTTATTTTCGAAAAGAGTGAAGGATAAAAAATAAAAAATATATTCAAAGTATTTTGATCTTTTGAACTTTAACTATCAGGTCTGTGAGTTTTCTATTTGAATCATCACCAAATGTTTATCGAAACCAACCTCAAAATATGAGTTGTTTACTTTTCCTACATGAACGAGGGTGATTGTTCAAGTAGGGAGAAGTGAACAACGGATAATTGAGGTTGATTTCGATAAACATTTGGTGATGATTCAGATAGAAAACTCACACTTGATAATTTAGGTATGAAATTCAAAAAACTAGGATACAAATTTAGGTGGTTTTTTTGTTTTTTTAATCCTTGACTATAATACTTTTAGAGAGTAACAATTTGTGTTTACTAATAGATATTAAACACACCTTTGTCAATATGAATAAGAATAGTGATATGTGTTTGACCAAGATTTCAAAAGTGCTTCGAATCCAAAAAAACATTTATACTATAATTCAAAAACACTCATCTTTTTCTTAAAAGCTTGATCCAACACCTCAATTTTTGAAATAAGCATTTCAAAAATAAAATAAAATTGGTTTCTCAGAAACTTTGCCTAACATGCCATTAACCTATAAAAGAAATACATTTAATAATGGGAAAATGCTCAAAAATGTCAACGAACTTTGAGAAAAGGCTCATATATGTCATTCATTAAAAGTTTGGCTCATCTATGCCATTTTCGTTTGAGAAAAGGCTCATCTATGTCATTATTTATTAACTGAAATGGCATTAGATGAGTCAATTTTTTAACGGATGAATAGATGAGTCTTTTCTTAATGTTTGATGACATATTTGAGCCTTTTTTCAAACGAAAATAGAAACGGAGGAAGTCTTACTGTCCCTTAGAGTCCTTTGGTTGCTTGTTTGCCTTAAGCATATCATCCAATTCTTGGGCTGTTAAGGCGTTTCCATTTGAACGTGCATGTTTGTTGAATATCTCTTCGAATTTTTCTTGAACAAACCTTCAACATGAAAAAAAAACAAACAATTTTGAGTTCTACTTTTTAACATTATTAATTAAAATGTATAATGTAGAAGGACTTGTGACTTAATTAGCTAGGTCATAGGTTCAAATTCTGAACGTGGTAAACAAATTTAACCCCGATATTTAAAAAGAAAAGAATAGAGGGATGGATCCATTATTTCGAGGAGTGTGTTTACCTTCCTTCACTATCGTAGACCCCACTATCACTGGTATGTTTGGCAAGTTTGATGTTTTTCACTTCAATAGGAAAGAGTAAAGAAGGCCCTTTTCCCTGTATTATTATTCCACATTATACCGTTAAAAAAACGCAATAGTAGAAATTTATGTTCTTAAACATATCATATAGTAACATTTTGTGTACCGTCTAATAAAAAATATTATTCTAAATGTATTTGTATATAATCTAGATAAATATATGAGATGTGGAGGGAGTGTGGGTCGGTGTGAATTGGAGCTACAGGAGTTGGGGTGGAGTGAAGATGATATGTGTTGAATGAAGATAGGCCATGATATAATTAATGTAGAATGACACTCGTGAAATTTATTTTCATTACTTCGTGGTTAGGTAAGTAATTCTCCTTATTTAAAAAAATAAGTGTTTTCTTATTAAAATATTTAATTATGTTTAGACCGATCGAATATGAAAAAATTAAAAATTCCTATGCAGCAGGTGAGAAGCTTTATCTAACATTAGAAAACACAATAAAATTAAACTTCAAATGAATTAATTAATGACTTAATTGATCAAACACATGCACGCAAGATAAGCTTTCTAATGACATGTTAAGTATTTTATATAATTTAATTTGGCGTATTTACATGTGAATGCAACTTTGGCTAATTGCGCACAACTTGGAGATAAAAAGTAGGAGAATAAATTCATTTAAATAAAAGAGATCTTGATAGAATCATTTCTCGATTTGTTCATGTCATTTTTATATAAAGCATCTTTTTTTTTCTTCTATAAGTTAGAAATATAATAATTCTATAAAAAGTTCGTTATATTTTTGCTCCACTTTGGTAACACTAGGGTCCATCCATGCAAACCACTTCTACAAAAACATTTTAGAGAATAATATATAATATATGGATAGACGAAGTTAGAATTTTAATTTAAGTTTTGAATTTTATAATGATAATTTTAAATTTAATATGTATATATATTTAACAAATTTAATAACATAAATATATTGTTTAAGATAAATCTATTAAATTTGACCAAATTCATAGATGAACCACTAACTCAACACTTGTTATGAAGTGCATTTTTTATTCAAGAGTAGAGTTAAAGGTAAATTTAGATTTTCAATTTGATGAAGGATTCAATTGACCTTTATGAGTTTTGTTATTAAGCTCATTATATCTATTTTAAAAATTATCGATTTAGATTTAATATATTTCACATCAAAAATAATAAATTCAGATGAATCCGTCATCATCATCGAAGAGCTATTGTCTTTTCCTTTACTTCTTTTCAACTTCTCCACAAGGATAATATGTATATGTTTTCTACTTCTTGTCCTATTCTTTTATTTTAATAACCGCCCCCCCCCCGCCCCACCACCCACCCCATCTGT